CCCCCCCAGCTCCCCCAGCCGCTCCCCAGCAGCCTGGGGCTCCAGACCCCTCCCCAGCTCCGCTGCCCTTCTCTGGACACGCTCCAGCCCCCCCAGGTCCTTCGGGGAGGGAGGGGCCCAACCCTGACCCCAGCACTCGAGGGGCGGCCCCCCCAGTGCCCAGCACAGGGGCACGCTCCCTGCCCTGCTCCTGCTGGCCACACCACTCCTGAGATAAGCCAGGATGCCGCTGGCCCTCTTGGCCACCTGGGCACCCTGCTGTTTATGCATCTTCTAGTAGCATAGTTTCCTAAAAACTTAAAGGCCTGGATCTGTCACTGATTTTTAAGCTTTCTTACAAGTAATGGACTCAAATGCTTGCATGAGATCTTTACAAGTCAAAGCTGACTTCAGTCTAGAAGGGCGTAAGTGAAAAAAACCATTAGACTGGGACCAAGAGAAAGGATTGCAGCTTTTCAGTGAAATTCTATACAAGTCAATGTTTTGGTTTGTTTTTTTTTTAAATAAATACAGCGGATCAAGCTACTCTTAAAGAAGATTTTGCAAAAGCAGGCACATATTACACAGTAAAATTCCTTGAAAATGAGTGGGCAATAAATAGCTGAGGAAAAAAAATTAGTACCGAGAATGAAACATTTCCCTACGCCATGCCTTGCCACTCCCGCTCAAACCGTGAGGCTTTTTCCAAGGCATCAAATGCCATCTGGTTTGTGTGTACAGGACAGTGCGTGCAGCACCACGTCCTCAGCCAGTCCTTACTGCGTTAATTTACTGTTATGGAAAACAACCACATCACTGGTCTAAGCCCCAGTATGAGACCAGCAATCTTACCTTCCCACCTAGTCAGGAGGTGATGACGATTTTACTGGATACAAGTTAAACAAAGATGGACCAAATAACAATATTTACCCATGGGTTTCTTTACAAACCTTCAAGAGCTTTTAACACTATTTTAAGAAGAAGCTCAAGATCATCTCAAGACAAAATTTAAAAAAAAAAAAAAAAAAAAAAAAAAGTAAATCCAGGTAGAGTTCCAAGCCATCTGAATTACTGAAACACAACCAGATTTCACTTCATGTACGCAACTATTTGTTCAGTGCCCGGAACAGAAAGAAATCCCTGCCCTAAAGAATTTGCAGCTCAGGTGCAAGAGTACAGATGGGCTGGCGAGACGGGCAGCAGGCCCTGTGTATTAGCCTACTTCTTGTGAAGTGTAAGTCACAAAAACAAAGCAAGCTTTAAAAGAATACTACCAGGTGTCATTTTAGGTACACAGCAATATAGATTCATTTTGAGGAAACAGGGAATTCCTAAGCACGGGGAACAGGAAAACTGGAAGCTACTAAGGACAAGCCTGCACGTTTAAACGCATACTGCGCAGCCAGATCTGCTCTCCAGCAAACTAAAGAGGGGACGCATAGAAGTCAGGACACAAAGTGCCCAGGATACAGAAAGGCTTTTCCTGAACGACTGGAGAGCC